AATTTCCAGCCCAAGCAAAAACTTCAATATTCAAGTACTTCATTATTCAACTTTTAAAAATCCCAGCAGAAGAGATGCAAAGTGTCTGTGACATGAATCTCATGTGCTTTCTTTTCACCTTGGGGAGAGGATAAATTAGCCTCAGTCTTTACAAGTATTTATCAAGTAGTTACATTTTAAACCTAATTTATTTATGCCTGAATCCAGCAAAGCATTTAAGCATATCCTTATGCTAAATATATGAATTAGCCCATTAACACTACAGTTAAGCATCATGCAAACTCTGATGGATACTTTTCACTTCCTTATCCTGCAGAAAGCATTTTATTTATATTATAATGAATTAATTTTACCTGAAACACCACCTATATGTTGATGGTTGTGAAAATAGTATTAATTTGTCATAACCACTGCAAACTGGACAGGTGAAGTGAGTTTATCTCAGGGCACATTTCTGCCCCATGTTTTCAATGTAACCTGAAAAGACTACTATGGAAAATCAGGTGTTATCACCTACTGGTTAAATGCAAACAAAACAGAGTTACCTTCCTTTGTTTTGCAATGCTTCTTTAAAACAACAGATGCTCTGTTAAATCTCATGTTCAGGCATTTATCACATCTGTTTTCTGTTCCCTTGCAAAGTATACTCACAATAGTGCTCAAATGAATTACAATAAGATTCGTCAGTTGAAACCTAAAAGGGAGTTCTGGGAATAAACATTTAATTTTAGGAGGAAAAACATAGGTGTTTAATGGCTTTAAACACGTTTTCAGATGGTTCAAATAGGCAAATGGTTCAAATAGGCAAAGCTCCATTACAGCCACAGTTTGAGACCTGATGTAACCTTCGTGAGGTCTCCAGAGAGATGTAAGGCCACAGGAAGAGGAAGTGGAGTCTACAGGGGTGGGGAGCCTGAGGGTACAGGCCGTGAACCCACAGCACAAGCAGGAGAAGCCTTGATGCACCAGTATTCTGGCCCTGCACCCTTCTCCAGTAATCACCACCAGCACAAGAAAAAATTTTCACCTTAAAAATGAATAAATCTTCGGTGTTCTCTTGTAAAACTGGAGCCTGCCTATTCAAAGGCACTGAGGAGGCTCCAGTAAAGAACTTTCATAATCACATTTTCTTCTTAACAGCTTTTGTGAGAACACAGGAAGGTCTTTCTCCCCTTCCAAGCCTGAAGAGACCTGGAGAATGGTATTGACAAAGACAGTCCTTCAACTCAGGAGTAGAATTTGACTCAATTATTCTGCAGGCAGCAGAATATTCTCTGTAGCAGCTCTGAAACGAATTCCTGCAGCACTGCCACACAAGTAAGACAACCTGGATCAGGTAAACCAGTTCTATTGCCAACGTCCCTTCCTCTTGTAACTGTTACCCCCTTTTTTTGTCCAAATTATACTTCTTCCTTTGAAAGACCCCTCTATCCTCACAATGCCTCTCCTAATCCCTTGTACAGACTCCATGCATTTGTCTTCCAGTTTTACCCTTGCTACCTTCCAGGCATGTTACTCATGCCAGCGTCTTGCAACAACACAACATTTAGTTCTTCCAGACTCTTTGAGTCAATGCCTCATTTCTCTTGAAGTAACTCCTGCTTTCCTCCACAGCATGAGTGGAGGGGGGTGTATGTGACTAACATACTGTTCGATCTTCCTTCCCCAAGGACCACTGCCTCACAATTTACAGGGAGGCTCAGTTCCTCTGAAAAACAGAAAGCTAACCAAGTTCAAATAGCTTTAGAATTTTAAAAGCAAAGTACGCTTATCTCTTATGTAGCATGTCATACAAAAAATAAAGAGCTCTTTGGAAAAAAAAAAAAAAAGTTACTCGTTGTCTGAGCACACGGCTGTTTATGAGATGAGATTCAGAAACCACCCTCCTTAAAGCTCCAGAGGAATTCTGCCTTCACTGCTAATTCACCAGCAGAACACAGTGCTCTTCTCACTGAGGGCCTGATGTTACATGTAAATGTCATCCCTTCAGAAAGTAGCTAGAAAACAACAAGAAGTTTAAAGATAAACAACTTCAAGTAGAAGCAAACACTGAGGTTAAGTTTGGATTGGATTTATTGAAATTTCTTTTATGTCCAAGGTACTGTTACTGCACAATTCAGAGAGCAGAATAACCAAATTCATTTCATTGAAGCCAAAAACTCATCTGAAGTTACCTGAAGGACAGAATGCTCTCAAATAGCCTTTTACACACTGAACAGAAGAGCAATCTTTGAGCCTTTAATTCTTATATATTACAATGTATTTTGTTAACTTGTCTTCAGTGAAACAAAAGCAAATCAGACCTCGGAACCTGGTCCATCCTGTTCTTAGAATCTCTTGGTGCAGCAAAGCAGAAAAGTTCCTCAAACTTGAATCAAGCTAACTGAGGTACCAGGAGCAGATTCATTTTCTCTGGCCTCTCCATTTGCAGGGCAGGCCAGAGGAAGTGTCAGAGAACATACCCAAGTTTTCCAGTTTTTCCCCTCGTACAATGGGAACACATCAGATTGCAGCTGCAAAGCTCTAGTGAGAGCTCAAGGTGGGAAGATGGCAAAAGATTCTTTCTCTTATGACCAAAATCTCCTCTCAGCACACGAGCAGCTACCTGAACAGCGCCCTGGAGACAAGTCTAACACCAAAGAAATGAATGCTACTATTACAGAAACCTCTCCAGGGAAGTCCTATTGCTCAGGATGTTTAAAACTAGGCCAGACAGAACCGTGGCAGCAGCACGACAAAAAATGGATGGCAGAGGCACTTCCTTAGTCTCCAGCCTCTGCGGGATTTCACGGCTGTTAATTGGGAAGTTGGAGAGACCCAGGGCACTGCAAACGGGATGCGAGGCTTTTTAACCAGAGCTTGCTGACTACTGCTTCACTGCCCTCTGCTTTTGTGTGCTGCTTTACTGGTAAACTTCACATAACTTTTAAACAGGGGGTCACGCTTTCAACCCTGCTGATGCACTTACTTCACCCAAGAAAAAGTTTTAGCAATCACCACTTCCCTTTTGGGAGGCAATAACAATTCTCTTTCCTCACCAGGTCTGTTGGAGGAACATAAGAAGAAATTACACTTTTTAAAATAATAAGAAAACCCTGTGAGTTAACTGTCTATAAAAAAAAACAAGCCACCCAGGCAGAGCTGAATTCACAAGGCCTTGTGCTGTATAATCACAGCCCTCCACACACCACTTTATACAATGTGTTGATCATTTGAATGAATAGATTCAAAAGACTTCATTTTAAGAACACATGAACTTAAAGGCCATACTAGCAGATTGTAACCATGTTTAAAGCTAAGTTCACAAAGACTCCAACTGAATAAGAGGAAAAATATACTTTTTCCAGCATGCTTAACCTGGGAAGCTTAACTGGTTTCCGTACAGTTCAAAAAGACCTCTTCTGTTAAAAACCACGTGAATAATCTTGATGAGACTCCCAGCAAAGTAACTTGCCCAAGCCCTTGTAGGACCAGAACCTTGCTTGTTCCTTGCTATGTTTCTAAACAGAAGCTAAACTACATTTCAACAACTTCAAACAAGCTCATGGAAACCCAAAGATATACGTGTCATTGCTTAGTCACCTGACGGACTGTTATAGCACTTGCCCTACTAGTGCCTTCCACCTGTAGCACACATTTCACGCTGTATTATTGTTATGTTGGGTGTTTTCAGACAGCAAGAGACCACATCTTTATTTAGCTTTATAACTCACCCACTGTACATTGTGAGCATCCCAACAGACCTGTCTCAGCGACTAACTTCAAAGGTATTGTGCACATAAACCCCCTTGCCCTGCTCTGGCAGCAATCCAGGGGATGCTTTCCATGGGCAGTGCCAGGCTGTGGGACTCAACCCTACACACTGGGTGTCAAAAAGTCAGTAAAAGTGTAATCAAACATCTATTTTATCACTAAACTGTAACCTCCTCAACACATCAGTGTCCAGCCCACTGGTAGGTAGCATAAAACATAGGGCTCTAACACCTTAATGTAATGAGTGTAACTCTATCTTTGCTAGTTACACAAAGGACTATGTACTGAAATACACAAGTGCTAAGGAAAGGGTGGAAACGATTTTAGACATCCTGATTCCCCTTCTGCTTTACCTCACAGGAATTGTACACACACCTGGGGTTCCTGGGTGGGGAGGAGCACGGTGTATGTCACTGCTGACCGTGTCTCTCTGTGGGGAGAAGAGGGACAGTGTAATTAACCCCAGGTCTGTGTTTCCGTTTTGCGGCTATAAATACACATTTCTGGATTTACTACTTTCCTTCACAGCCCATTTTGAAGCGCAACCGGGGCTGTCAGACAGCTCCACACCGCTGATAAACCCTGCCCGCCTCTCTCCCCCCTACTGACTTGTGTGCCAGCTTGGGGGATTCCCTCGCTGCTCTTCTCCGTGGGGCCGGCCGCACCGGGGGAGGTTCAATCCCACCACCGGACGGCCCGGCTCAGAGCCGGCCACCCCCGTGCTGCCCCGGGCAGAGGGAAGAACGTCCCGGGGAAGCCAAAGTGCAGCCCCGAGGCAAGGTGCCCGCAGGATGCTCCTCAGGCCCTGCTCCGCGGGGCTACCCCTCCTCCTCGGCCCCAGACCTGCCTCTGCCGAGCGGGGGGTCCCAGACTCCATCACTCGAGCGGCGGCGGCGGCGGCAGCCGGGGCTGCCCTCAGGCGAGGGCTACCCAGAGGCGGAAACGGCCTGAGGCAGCGCACTGAGCCGGGAACAGCGCCCGCGGAAGGCTGCGCTGAGGCGGGGGCTGCCCTGAGGCGGGGGCTGCGCTGAGGCGGGGGCTGCCCTGAGGCGGGGGCTGCCCTGAGGCGGGGGCTGCCTGAAGCGGGAGCAGCCCTGAGGCGGGAGCTGCCCTGAGGCGGGGGCTGCCTGAAGCGGGAGCAGCCCTGAGGCGGGGGCTGCCTGCCCCGCCCCGCCTCCGGGAGCCGGCTGGTCCCGCCCCCCCCCGCGCCGCCGCGTGCCGCGCGGAGGCTCGCCGCCGCTGAGCGCGCGAGGGGCGGGCGGGCCGGCCCGTGCGGCGGAGCGGGCGCCGGCAGCGCGGCCGCGGGGAGAGCGGGTCCATGGAGCACAACCACGTCCACCTGCACAACGGCTCCCTCCTGGCGCACCACCGCTATGGCTGCGGCCTGGGGTACGCACCTGTCGTCTACTACAGCCTGCTGCTGTGCCTCGGGCTGCCGGGTGAGTGCCGGGCGGGGACGCGCCGCCGTGCCCGGGCTGCCCCGGGAGCTGCCGCTGCCGGGAGAGGCTCCCGCAGAGCTGCCGGTAGCGCCCGCAGAAGCGTCCTCTGCCCGGCTGCCTGCGGCGCGGTGTGGTGCGGGATGGGCGCGCTGCGGCGTCCCCGGGAGCGGGTTCTCGGCGGGGCTGAGCGCGGGTGTTCCGTAGACGGCGCCTTCGCCGCCCGACACGCCGCTGTCCCTGCGTTTTGGTCGCTCGCCGGGGTTTGTCCCCGCGTGCCCTCGCACCGCTGCAGCCGCTTTCTCACCCGGGCTCGGGCGCTCTGACTTTGAACTTGACATACAAAGTCTCAGCCTGTCGTGAAGTTCCGGCCGTTATCAGTTTGGCGATGTGAAGACAGAGCGGTACGAGGACAGCAGGGTCTGTCCCCTGTCGATCGCGGGCCGGGCTGGCTGTAATGGGAAATGTAGCTGAGGAGGTCTTGTAGTGCAAATCTGGGGCAAGGTTGGCTTTAGGAGCAGCGTGCCACCAGTGAGGAACTAGGCTGGGGAAGGAGCATGCTGTCAAGAGGTTAGCAGAGTTTTGTCTTGCTCAGGGGGCTGTGTCTACAGCTGATGGAGCAGGACAGTACCTAGAAAGTCTGGTGTTGGGGTCAGTGCCCTGCAAGGGCAATGGCAGTACTGACACTGAGATCCCCGAGTGCACATACAGGGCTCAGAAGAAAGTCCCAGCTCACAGGCACCAGCCTACAGCCTGCATAACCCTCAGTGAAATCCCCTACTTAGAAAGGGGACAAAGACGATATAGAGATGCTAGAGATGAGAAAAGCAAGAGAGACCCCAAATGGGGAAGGAAAGGCTCTTTCAGGCTTGGGTGTGAATACCTGTGAAGCACCATTGCCAGCATGCACGTATCCACAGCCACATGAGCATCACATCAGCATCAGTGTGTCAGCTGAGACAAGGGAATGAGCAGGTTTCACCTCCCAGAGGGGACTGAGGCTGTCCGTGAGACACCTTGGCACATAGGACCACAGGGTCCACAGCACCACTTCTGCAGGTAAAGACTGGGCTTCAGTAGGCAGAGCTGCCAGCCCAGCACAGCTTGAGTGGGCAAACATCATGGCTTGCTCCCTTGTTTAACATCTCCAGCCTCAGAGTGACCTACAGCGATCCCAAGGACAGGCAGAATGAGTTGGGGAAAAGTTAGAGCAATGTGATGCACCAGGGTGAATCGGTATTTTAAGGGTGCAGTACAAGAGTTTGGTTGTGTCTATGTACAGCTACACGTTTAAATCGCTGTGTGAAATGACAAGCAGCAGTGACATTCGGGAGTCTACAATCTCTAAATGTTTTGTTCACCTAAATTCCTTCTTCAAGCAATTAATTCATGGAAAAAAATCTAATCAGACATGAAGAGCAGCCTACTACAGCAGGTACCTGCATGAAATGATGTTCTTTGTGGTGGGGTTTTGTTTGATTTGGGGTTTTTTATGCCTCCCTGGCTTATAATTAAAATTTGAAGATACTTCACAAAACTGGGAAGTTAAGTCCTGTATTTCCCCACAGAGGATGTAGGGCATAAGCAAACGTCTCTGCTCCACAGTATTGATGAGTATCAGCTCTGACCTGAAGGGACCCAGCCAGCAGGGGTAAGGAGGTAGTTTCCTCTTCATTAGTGCCTTAGATGTCCATAGTAATGACAAGCTGTGTTTCAACACCTGTCCCCTAGGAACTGACCAAGACCCTCTCAAGATTATCAGGTGAAGAAGTTGTTATGAAGCAGTCTGTAGCTAAACTTGCCTTTGTATGTCTTCGAAAGGGGGAAATTCTTATGTGCACAGACAAGAAAGATCACTTAATGAGCATTCAGCACATACTTGCACCAGCTCCCTAGGGATACTGCATTGTAATTACAGACCTAACGCTGTTACTTTAAGAACATGGTTAAAATTGGTGTACAATCCACGTTAGCAATGGTGACATGCATTTCTTGGGGAATCAGACATCAGTTGATTAGAGCAGTGGCACCAGTGGTAGTACTTAACAGAACTGACCAAAGCATTTGTTGGTGAAACAGTGCTGGGTTCAGTGGACTCACATCAGGTATGAATGTGTCAGCTCGTTCAGTGCACATTATCTGAGGATAACGTTGGCACTAACACCTGAAAACACTGCACATGTACAGTGTACTGAGTGCATGAGAAATTTATGATTCTCATGTGAAGACTGCACAGAGATGAGAACAAGCTGGATACGTTTAGGGGAAGACTCAAATAGGCAAGCTTCATTGAAGATATGTTACAGGGTGAGAGCAGTGCTAAAAAGAGCTTTTCATGTTTTAATTTGAAGCTGCTTTTCCATTTTCTGACATTAGAAAATTGGAAAGGTAGCACGCTTAACTACCTGTAGAAAAAGAACCCTAAAGTCTGTGGGATCAGAGCAATTAGCTTTGTGTGGTGCCAAGAATTTAAGAGAAAGTGTCTAGGATCTGTTCTCAAATACAGCACTAGTGCAGTGTTTTGCTGAAATGCAAACAGTTTACTCCTTGCCACAAATCTTGATGACAGACTGATGAGAAGAGAAACCAGTTAACTGTTTCTGCCTTTCCTGCTCTAGTGTCTGAAGGAAATTTCACTAACTCAACAACTCCACTTTGAGGCCAAGTGATGCCAGGCCTGATTGTGCAGGCAGAGAAAGCATCCTTTCCCCTCCCTTGCGTAACCCAGGCATCTCAGCAGATCCTGTTCTCAGCAGTGACTTTTTCTCCCTCCCTGTTCAATCAGGCACCAGAAAGTCTGAGAAAGGCAGAGACAAGAGAGCACAAAGTGAACTCCTTCACCCCTGCTCTGGCTGCGGCACACAGAGGCAAGTTGCAAGCTGTGCCCTGCAAAGAGGGGCAACCACAGAGGCACGAGTGCAAGCAGACCCTGCTGCAGCAGGTACTGTGTCCCCATGTGGTCTGGTACTGTACTTCAGGTACAGTCTGCCAGAGGTGATCCTGCCTCCTGATCAGCAGGGATGAGAGATCTCTTTTCCCTCTAAGCAGATACTGGTGAGACAGAAACTGTTTTCTCAGACTTGTTCTGAGTGCAGATGTGCAAAGGTGTCCCACAAGTGTGCAGTCGTGCTGCCAGAAGCAGGCTGTGTGAGACAGGGGGAAGCTGCTGGTGCAAGGGTGGGGAGCAAAGAGAGGCAGTAGCACTGGAACTGGGGTCATACTCCCATTTGTGGGGGGAATGGTATAGTTTACAGAGCTGTTCTGCAGCCCCTGTTCTACCATCCCTGCACTCCCTTTGACTGTCACTCAGAGAGAACTTCTCAAGCACCTCCAGTTAGCCAGGAGGCAAGAGCAGGGCTCCAGGAAGGCTTAATGGAAATGTTTCTTGCTTTAGTGAGAGAAAATGACAGAGAAGAGATGTGGGATGTGAGGAAGAGAAGAAATTGCTTTGATTCAATCTAGAAGGGGGCTGGTAAGGCGAGAAAGGAAAGAGCAACAGGTACCAACTCTTAGTCCATCCCTTTGTCAGTGAGAGCTGCACAAAGCAGTTTCACCAAAGAGCTCCTGCTATGGCTGTGCTTCTGAACATGGCCATGAAGGTCAAGAAGAGAAGCAGCAGCGCTTTCTGTAGGCAGCTGGCTTTGACCCTGATTCCTGCTTCGTTGGAAGGTGCAGCAGTGACAGAGTTGCCTTCCATGCACTCACCTTCCCTGTCAGGGGTGTAGTGTACTGCTGCAGAAAGGACAAAGTGGCAGCATTTCACACACCAGGGCCTGGCATGATCCCTTCTTTCCAGGAGTCTCCTCCTCCTGGAGAGAGAGAGTAAAATCTGGCTTTCTTACTGTGTGATCGCTGGTTCCACTTTGCTCCCTGGTCAGTTGCCTACCTGGGGAGCAACTCTGCTTCAGGGGTCATCACATGCCAGTGACACAAAGTACGGACATACCCAGTGTCTCCAGGAGGTTACAAACCAATGTCCCAGGGAAGTACCACTTCAGACTTTGAAAGTCCACAAAGATCAGTTTTCTTTGTGCTTAAAACTGATCTCATCTAAACGCAAATTCAGGATTGCAAGCTTGGGAAAGCAGGCTGCACACACTTGGTTGTAAGCAGATAGCTCTCATGTCAGACCTGCTGCTGAACAAGGTGTTGTGGAGGTGGGGACAACCTGTATCATTCAAAGCTCAGCCATGCACAGACCGTACTCAGTGGCCTCCACACAGAGGAAGAGAAGCTGTAGTCCTGACCTAGAGGAAGTAAGCTCAGCAGGGTGCCTGACCTTTATAACACAATGTCAAAAGATAGGTACAACGTTATGGACCTTCCTCCAACAGACTGGGTGTCCTCGCACAGCAAGCCAGATGCTCCCTAGGGTGTTGGATTGACACTCAGGAGCGTAACATTTGCACTGTGCCATGCAAACCACATTACAGTCACAGGCAAACTGAAACAGTGGAGAGCTGGTCCTTCTGCAGCCTTCTCCCCAGATGCAGTGTGGAATAAGGAGGCTACTCGGAATGCAAGCCAGGGTCATCATCCTGGCAAGGCAGGTAGTGCTGGTGGGCTGTGCATGCCACCATGCAACAGCCCAGCTGCGCTACCTCCACTCCCCCAGTGTAGGGGGAATGAAACCTGAAGAACACTGCCATCTCTGTACTTATAGCCATGACCTGGTTAGTACCACGAGTAGGAAGGAGGACAGGTAGCAATGTTTGTTGATGACTCACGTGGCATGTAATACCCAGTAAATACCAAAGCAGGCAGAAGGTAGGTGTACATACAGCTCACAGCAGTGCAGAAGTGTGTCTGACCTGTTTTGGATTCCTGCCATCTACTGCCTCGTATATTCTGCAATCACAGTAGAGGCTTCTGATAAAAGAGAGCATTTCCAAAAACCTGAATAAATAGCCTTTTTCATAAAAGAACACCTGAACAATAGAAGTGCTAGAGGAAGATCTGAAAATACAAGTGGGAGAATTGTTACAAGCAAAGTTACGACCTTG